TATTAAAGAATTCTTTGCCCAGATGAAGGTCATGAATCTTTTCTTTTTCTTTCTTCTATTAGTTCCATAGTTAGGGCCAGCCTCCTGTGGCGGACCTCTCGACCGGCAATGAAGAATGACCACCACACCAGGATTCCACTCAGATCACGCTTTTACTGGAGTGCCCTTGATTGCTGGGGAGCATGGAATGAGGGGCGGGAAAACGAGGAACAGGGAGCAGACGGGAGAGGCAGCAGGAAGCGAAGGGGGGAGGCAGCAGGAAGCGAAGGGGTCGAAGGGCACTTAGGCAGCTGCTTAAATAGGGAAATGGCACACGGGTCGCCCTGTGATTGGCTGCCAACAACAGCTGACACCAGACCGCATCGGGATAGGCTCAAGGATCCTCATCCTCTGCGCATGCGGGAAGCGGGGACGCGCAGCTCTCAAAGCCATAGCCAAATATGGAGTTGTCTATAACCAACAAGACAGGATGTCGGCGCCATCTTGTAATGGCGATCCTGTCCGGCTCACTACAAATCCCCCTTATTGTTTGTAAGCAATGAGCGCAGGACTAACGTCATCCAATCTGACCCCCACCTCATGATGTGTTGGTCGATCGAGGATGGAAGATATTTTCCATGGACACACCTTCCCCTGTGCAATGGGTACTCGAGGAACCCCGGGGGTGCAAAGGCTGTGTCGCAGGAACCTACAACCACACACCTTCCCAAGTGCAATGGATCGACAGATCCCATGGGGTGCAAAGGCTGTGCAGGAGGAACCTACATCCGCACACCTACCCAAGTGCAATGGATCAATCAACAGATCCCATGGGGTGCAAAGGCTGTGCAGGATGGAAGCCCTAAGCGTCTCTTAGTGCTGACAACCATATCTGGGGGAAGGAGCCACACTCCAGGGTAGCTAAAGCCTGAGAGATTATAACCTTATCCCAATATAGCCTTATCCCTATTGGTCTGGTGCTCGAAGGCAGCAAGCCAACCACAGGCACAACACATAGCCACCCAGGCAGCTTGCCAAAAAACATGCCCATGGAACTGAAAGCACAGGGACCCTTTCTCTGTAATGTTACGTGCTTCTCCTAAAAGGGCCACTTTAGACTTATAACTCAAGGTTTCTATCGGTGGTAAAAATCTGGGGAAATCATGGTGAATGGGCATCGCCTTTGGGAAGGCTGACAGGCTTCTCCTTCTGTGCTCCACCTTCCCCTGGATCCACGTCATCAGGGATGTTAGCAGGAACTTTCTCCAGCGACTCAGCCTCTTCCTTAGGAACTTCCTTGATCATGCGTGTCAGCCGGCTCGGAATCCAAAGTGGAGCCTCTTGGCCCTGTGGAAAAACACATACAGCTCCCCTGGATCTTGCCACCGCAAGATCCGGTCCATACCATTTGTTATCCAATATATCTTTCCACATCACATATTCCTTTTGTTCCATAGGGCCTGCTGCATGCTTTTCAGCTGCTGCAGTACCCGACTCATTCAGGTTTAAAAAATTAAGTGTGAAGAGAGCAAGGGAGATTCTTTCCCTGGGGGAGGCGGATTCAGCTATTCCCCCTTTTTGTTTTTGTAGAATTTCTTTAATATTTCTGTTGGCTCTCTCCACAATACCTTGTCCTTGTGGATTGTATGGAAGACCCGTAATGTGGGTCACTTGGAGCTGTGCGCAAAAGGCACGAAATCCATGGGAGGTATATGCCGGGCCATTGTCTGTCTTCAGGCGTAGGGGTTTTCCCCAGGCAGCCCAGGCCTCAAGGCAATGTGTTTTTACATGAGTCACCTTTTCTCCCGCTAGGGGCGTGGCATGAATAATGCCAGAAAAGGTATCCACTGATACATGTAAATATTTTAATTTGCCAAAATCAGGCAGATGGGTAACATCCATTTGCCACAACGCGTTAGGTTGCAGCCCTCTAGGGTTGACCCCAACATTAGGAGGGTATAAAAAGGTCACACATGAAGAACAGGCTTTAACTATATCTCTGGCTATCTGTCTGGAAATATGAAATTTTTTTCTAAGGGTATTGGCAGGCACATGCCAAAGCTTATGAAAATCTCGTGCTAATTCTATAGGGTCCGAGACGACCAAAGCCATGGACCGGGTAAGGCAGTCAGCCAAATCATTGGCCTCAGACATGGGTCCTGGAAGCAAAGTATGTGCCCGAATATGTCCAATGAAAAAGGGATTATCCCTTTGTAAAATGCACGCTTGAATTTGACATAAAATATTGGAAACTGTACTTGAATTTCTAACAAAGGCGGCCACCTCCAACGAGGCAACAGCATTCACCACATATTTAGAATCTGAAAATAAATTGAAGGGTTCTGAAAATCTTTTAAAAACTTCCAGCACGGTCATACATTCCGTGACTTGTGGGGAATCAGGTCGAAAATCAAGCAAAATGGGTTCCCTACCTTGAATTACTATGGCACCTTTGCCAGTTTTGGAGCCATCAGTAAAAACAGTCAAGGCCATATTAATGGGCTTTTTAAAGGTAACCTTAGGAAAATACACTAAGTTCCTTTCCACAAAATTCAATATGGGATGTCTTGGATAATGATTATCAATAAGGTTAGGAAAAGCGCAAACCAAAATGGCCCATTTATTTACTGTAGCTGCCAATGTCTCCACCTGTCCCTTGGTATAGGGAATAATTAATTTATCTGGCATGGTTGCAAAAGATGTTAAGCAATGTTTTATCCCCAATACCGCTTGAGAAGCAACCAACTCGGGATAATATTGAATAGCTTTGGTACCTGAAGAATTACCATGGATCCACCATAAAGGGCCATCTTGCCATAGCACCCCAGTAGGGTAATGTGTAGTTTTTAAGATGCATAAGAATATGGGCAAAGCAGGATCGACTCGGCACAATTGTGCCTTAGTCATTGCTTTCTCCACCTGTTTTAAAGCCTTTTCAGCCAAGGGGGTCAAAGTTCTGTTCGAGTTAACATTTGGATCACCTTCCAAAATAGAAAACAAGGGCAACAACTTTGCCCGGGGGATGTTTAAATACCCCCTAATCCAATTAATATCCCCCAATAATTGTTGAAAATCATTAAGTGTCCTCAAATGATGAGTGCGAATGGAAATCTTTTGAGGAGTCACCGTCAAAGGGGATATAATTGCCCCCAGAAATTTTATAGCAGTAGTCTCTTGGATCTCATCGGGTGCCAAGACCAGGCCCCAACATGTAGAAAAATGAAGATATATCTACATCCATCTCCATGTACAAAACTTAAGTTCAAATGAGCCAAAGGCCTTAGCATATAAAAATTATGTTGAACCTCACAGAGAAAAATTTTTGAAGCACATTTTGTCACGTCTCAAACATAGCCTTAGTGGCACAAACATTGTGAGAAACCATAAATTATATCTCTTGAATTGAGCTTTTGTATAACAAGGCTAGAGTGGGAAAAGATCTTTACTTATTACAGACCTAAACTGAAAATTCTCAACAGACAAACTTAAAAATGACTGACACATTTAAAAAATGTTTAAACATAACAACCTTTAGCCCTCAGAGAAATGTAAACCAAAACTTTGAGATTTTATCTTATCCTTGTAGAAATGACCAAGATTAAAAATTATTGTTAACAATTTATGCTTAAGAAAATGTGGGTAAAGAAAAAACCTTATTGCTGGAAGTGTAAACCGACACAGCCATCTTTGGATCACACATCGTATTGAAAAACCTGAACAAATCTAGACTCCTCCAGCAGGAAGAGAAGAACCAAAAATCCAGGACTAGCCGCTTCAGCGACCCTGCATCAGGAACTAGCTGAAGACAAAACCAGATTGCAATCCTGATAACAATCCCGATAAACAGTGAGTTTCCTCCTTGTGATTATCAGCTTGCTGTGCTTTAGGAACTAGTTGATTACGACCTTGGGAGTGGTCCTGTGGTAGGGAGCCGTCCTCTTGCGACCATCATTGGATTTTTGGAATTTATGACCCTCCCTGAGTATAGGGCTGTGGCCTCTTTTCTTAAAAAATTTTTTTCCAGGTCACTAGGGGTCAAACTCCTCCCCCGCCAATCAAAGCCATGTGACCTCAGCAAGGACGGTCTCCGGCGAGCCATGTGGGGGCCCGCGCCATCCCTAGACCTTAGTGAGAGTCTCCCCAGCATTGGGAGTCTCCCATTAGGTCTATCTTTTAAAATTAGGCAAATATTTACCTCAAAACTTAGCAATACCCCTTTTGGGCCTAAATACAAAGTTTAACCACAAAAACATGTGCTCAGCCTTGCTTGGAGGTGTGGCTGAGTGGAGCAGTTGTGCCGACCTGATCCAGGCTGGTTGCTCCGGGCTAGGACAGAGGTTCAAGCTGGTGAGCCTCACCAGGGTCCCGCTGCACTTCTATGCCCTGAGGCCCATGTTGGGAGTGGCCTAGCCTTCTAGCCTGTGGGTACTCAAGGCAGGTCCTGTGTTTGCAGCTTTGCATCTTGGAGCAGCAGCTGTTCACATTCTACAAAATCTGGAGGCCTCGGTAACTCGAACCAGAAGAATATAATTCCCTTCCTTAGCATATCTTGTTTAGCAGCCAGATCTCTATCAAGCCTATCATAGGATGACACATTAAGATTGCCAGAGGCAGCTTTCTCCAGTTCTTCCTCCTCCTCAGACCGATCCAGGCCCGCAAATTCCTCGAGCGCTGGATAGAGGGGACTTCTCCCCTTCTCATTAGCCTCTCTTTTAGAGAGGTTTGTACCAGGATCCTTTTCTCTTACTTTTTTTCTTTCAGGCCTTTCCAAGTTTCCTCCCTTTGAATCTGAATCTGAAAAACTGTTCTTGTGTTTAATGCGGGCCTTTCGCCCCTCTCTCGGAACGTCAACTTTGTTCCCCGCCCTGAGGTTGTGGCCGGACTTACGGCAGTGCAACCAGAGACAGCAGGCCAGTATAAACATCACAAACGCCACGAACACGAGACCAAACACCCAAGAACCCACTCCCACAAACAGCATACTTGGGGAGACTGAAATTAACATACTGGGAGAAACTTACCGACGTCGCCACTCCGCATGTTGAGTTCAGAATCCTCTTCGGCCCTTCGCCTGGTGACCGAAGTTCCCGGGTTTCCGGCACCAGCTGTGGCGGACCTCTCGACCGGCAATGAAGAATGACCACCACACCAGGATTCCACTCAGATCACGCTTTTACTGGAGTGCCCTTGATTGCTGGGGAGCATGGAATGAGGGGCGGGAAAACGAGGAACAGGGAGCAGACGGGAGAGGCAGCAGGAAGCGAAGGGGGGAGGCAGCAGGAAGCGAAGGGGTCGAAGGGCACTTAGGCAGCTGCTTAAATAGGGAAATGGCACACGGGTCGCCCTGTGATTGGCTGCCAACAACAGCTGACACCAGACCGCATCGGGATAGGCTCAAGGATCCTCATCCTCTGCGCATGCGGGAAGCGGGGACGCGCAGCTCTCAAAGCCATAGCCAAATATGGAGTTGTCTATAACCAACAAGACAGGATGTCGGCGCCATCTTGTAATGGCGATCCTGTCCGGCTCACTACAGCCTCCCTTTCCAGTCTTTAATCTGTTTTGTTGTTGCTGTTTGTTAAGTTTGGTTTTGTGAGACAAAGTCTTATTGTGTAGCCTTGTCTGGCCTGGAACTCAATTTGCAGACCAGGCTGGCCTTGAACACATAGAGATCCACGCATCTCCCAAGTGCTGGGATTAAAGGCGTGCATCACCCCACCAAGTTCTAATCTGCTTTGAGTTGGTTTTGGTATATGGTGAAACATACGGATCTAGTTAACTCTTATGTATAATATACCACCCACTCCAGTAAAAATAGCTATTAGTAAATGAGCCAAACATAAAACATAGCAAGACTGTGGAGGAAAGGAAGGCCCTGCATCCTGTTAGTGGGAATGTATATTAGTACACTCGACACAGAAGCAGTATGGAGGTTTTTCAAACAATGGACTGGAAAGAAAACTCTGAGGTTAAGAACACTGAATGTTCTTTAGAGGGTCTGGGTTCAAGACCCAGCACCCACATGACAACTAAAAAACATCTGTAACTCTAGTCTCAGGGTGGTACGGGAGAATTGTTTGTATTCTGTCAATCATGTTTTAAATAAACGCTGATTGGCCAGGCAGGAAGTATAGGTGGGTCAACCAGACAGGAAGTAGAGGTGAGGCAATGAGAACAGGAGTATTCTGGGAAGCAGGAAGCTCCCTTGCCAGTTCTGCCCAGACCACCGAAGAAGCAAGATGTGAGCTGCCCCCCCCCCCCCCCCCGCTGAGAAAGGTACTGAGCCATGTGGCTAACATAGGTGAAAATAATGGGTTAATGTAAGCTACAAGTAGCCTGAGCTAATGGGCCAATCATACTTCCATGTATTTTCTTTGGGACCTTGCTGGCTATGGGAACTGGGCAGGACAGAAACCCCAACAAGCAAGCCCCTTCAGGTTACATCAGGGAGTCTGTCTTAATTACTATTCTATTGCTATGATAAGACACCATGATCAAGGCAACTTCTAGAAGAAAAGGATTATTTGGGGCTTAAAATAACTAGTGCTAGGGTTAGAGCACTAGTTAACAATAGTTAAGACATGGAATCACATCAGCCAATGAAACAAGCGTTATACACACAACTGAACACTATTCGGCCTCAAAGGACGAACTCCTGTCATGTGTAGCAACGTGGATGGACTTGGAGGACTTTGTGTTAAGGAGACATGAGCCAGACACAGAGAGACAATAACACGATCTCACTAACACATGGAATATGGGAAAGTGAGGCCATAAAAGTTGGGAGTAGCTCAGTGGCTACTGCAGGTGACTGGGAGAGAAGAGGCTGCCGAGAGACTTCACAGTGCACACAAAGTTACAGCCAGACGGCTCTGATGTGTGGGTGCACAGCATGGTGACTGTAGATAGCAAGAAAGGACCACACAGTTCCAAATAATTACAAGAGAAGATCTTTGGAAGGCAGCCATGCTTACCCCATGCCAGCAATACATACTAGAAGAGAGGAGTTTTGACCATTCCACAGACAAAGAAATGACAAGAGATAAAGGAAATGAAGACGATAATTATCCCGAATTGATCATTCTATAATATATATCTTTACTGAAATGTCACAGTGAACCCCTTAGACACACAAAATTACATGCTAATTAAAAATGAAAGCAAATAAGCTACAAATGATGTTCTGTGTATCATGTAGGGACCCTTTCCTTACGCATCTTTGCTTATTTCTACTGAGCACAGCAGCCTCTGTGAATTTCTATAGCAGAACCGTGGGGCAGAAGATTATGTGTTAGTTATCAAGTCTGAGAAAGCACAACACTGTTGTCTTAGTTTGGGGTTCTGTTTTCTCATGAAACACCAAACCAAAAGCAACTTGGAGAGGAAAGAGTTTGTTTTGCCCACAGTTCCATATAACAGTTCATCATCAAAAGCAGTGAGGGGAGGAACTAAATGAGGGCAGAGATCTGGAGGCAGAAGGTGATCCATAGGCCATGGAGGGGTGCTGCTTACTGCCTTGCTCCTCATGGCTTGCTCAGCCTGCTTTATCTCTCTCTCTCTCTCTCTCTCTCTCTCTCTCTCTCTCTCTCTCTCTTTATAGAACCCAGGACTGCCAGCCTAGGGGTGGCCTCACTCACAATGGCCTGGGCCCTCCCCCATCAATCACTAATTAAGAAAATACCCTACAGGCCTGCCTACAGCCCTCTCTTATGAGAGGCATTTTCTTAGTTGAGGTTCCCTCCCTTCAGATGACTTTGGCATGTGTCAAGTTGACATAAAACTATCCAGGGCAACTGTGTGCCTGGTACAAAACCCTGGGGCAGACCCTGAACTCTTTTTATCCCTCTCATCTGGATATTAGAGTCACCAGGAGAAACACGGCATTTGTAAAGCATTGGTTGGAATAAAACTTCACCTTCATAGAGAAAAATGGGGCGAAATCATCTTTAAGAGTATGTACCAGTTGCCCCCCTATATAGCAATCCTCCTGACAGTCAGTGCCAGTCAGCCACTCTGCCCCTCTCATATGACTGGAAAAGGGCCCTGAAGAAGAGGGTATTAGTGGCCTTGGCTGGATACCATGGGATGCATATACTGGAAAGAGCATTGTCTCTTGGAAGGAAATGTTTCTTCCTGTCCAAGGCTTGTTCTTCTGAGGCCGAGAAGGGGGGAGACTGGAAGCAGTCTTCTAATGCACTGTGCTCATTAACTCTTGGGACCTGTTCCCATTCTTGTATTTTCTTTTTCTTTTCTTTTCTTTTCTTTTTTTTTTGTTTTTGTTTTTTTGTTTTTTCGAGACAGGGTTTCTCTGTAGCTTTCGTGCCTGTCCCGAAACTAGCTCTTGTAGACCAGGCTGGCCTCGAACTCCCAGAGATCCGCCTGCCTCTGCCTCCCAAGTGCTGGGATTAAAGGCGTGCACCACCACCGCCTGGCTTGTATTTTCTATGCTAATGCGTGAGACTCTCAATTCTGTTGTCTAAAATCCAGAAACCTCAAGGTCACCCCAGATCTGTCTTCTGTCTTATTTAACGTCGGTCTTGACGCTCCATCAACACTGTCTTTCTGTCTCTAAGAGGCCATTCTCATGGTGCTTGTGTTGCATTTGTGGCATGGGCCATGCCTTGTCAGCAGTGTGACTAGCTTCTCTCCTGCTCTCACCTCTCAGTCAAGCTAAAGCGATTTTTCCAAGGTGCAAAGGTGACCAAGGGCACACCATTGTTAAGATCCAACAAAAGTTCCATTAGACTTCATGATTGGTTCCTTGTCCTCCTATCCTGAGACTGACACCTCCCTAGCCTCCTCTCCCATTGCTTCCTGCACTCCCTTTGCTGTAGAAATAGCTGAATTTCATGCTTGCACCATCTGCCATTACCTGACGTCTCCTTCTGCAAGGAAGCCTCATTCCACATGCCTATCTTGTCTGTCTGTCTATCCAGCTGCACCCTGGGTCTCATTGCTTCTTCATTTTCTATTCTCAAGCAGGCTGCAAGCGCCTCCAGGGCAGCACTGATATTTTAGATGTCTCTAGGGTTGGCTTTGCACATGGAAAGCAGCAATTTTTGATTTTGAGTTTCTTTACTTATTTCAGAAGCCACATTTTTATCTTAATATCTCTTCTGTGGAGATGGTCTTGGGTCTCTTATAGGTCTCTGAAGGCTGGGGTCAAAGGTGAGTTTTAGCTGAAGGAGAGGTACGAGCTACGTGGGTGTTTGTTCTCTGGCAAAGTAAAATTTTTTCCTCTTAAGAGCTTTCTAGAGCAGTTTTCTATTACTAGCGTGTGTGTGTGTGTGTGTGTGTGTGTGTGTGTTACTGATAACTAATTCTCAGACCTCACACATGCTAGGAAAGCACTTTATACTTAGCTCTGTCCTTGGCTGTCGAGTGCTTGTATGTGTGTGGTATATGTGTGTACTTATATAAGTGTGTGCATAAATGTGTCTATATGGAGGCCAGAGGTCAATATTGGTTGCCCTTTTCAATTGCTCTCTACCTTATTTTTGGAGACAGGGTCTCACATTGAAGTGGCTGTCCAACGAGTTCAAGGGGTTCTCCTTACTTTGTCCCTCACTGCCTAGGCACTGCTATTAAGACATGAGATGACATTCCAAGTTTTTACGTGGGAGCAGGGATCTGCACTCTGGTCTTTATGCTAACACAGCAGACACTTTACCAACTGAGCCATCTCCCCAGTACCTACTTCTGATCTCACTAAGTTAACCAGGCTGACCTTGAACTTGTGGTATGCCAACCTCAGTCTCTCAAGTATCTGAGATTGCAAGCTTATGCCACCAGGCTCAAGGCTCCTGACTGCTAAATCCGTAGAGTTGGCAGTACTATCTCCATTTTATACATTAGGAAACTGAGTAACAGGAGAGTTAAATATCCTGTTCAATCAATACAATAGTTATGTATCAATGCTGAGATTTGTCTCCAATGTTATGTTGTCTAACTCTGAGCTTTGTTTTGAAAGGGTCAGTCATGACACAGATAAATGCTAGGACCTTACATTTAAGTAATGTTGCAGACGTAACACCAAGCTA